TGCTTCCCGATGCATGATAAACTTGCCGTCATCAATCAAGAATTAGACAATGTAATTCTTAGTTCATGACTGGAAACGGCCCATCGCAGATCAATTCATTCAACCCAGCGAGTACAGTGTGTGTGTGTGTGTGTGTGGAAGGTTGTGTGTGTGTTTGTTGGAGGTCGCGTGTGTGAAGGTCGCGTGTGTGTGTGTGCGTGTGTGTGTGTGTGTGGAAGGTCACGTGTGTGTGTGTGTGTGTGTTTGTGTGTGTGTGTGTGTGTGTGTGTGTGAAGGTGTGTATGTAGTGTGTGTGTGTGTGTGTGTGTGTGTGTGTGTGTGTGAAGGTCGTGTGTGTGTGGAAGGTCATGTGTGTGTGAAAGGGCGTGTGTGGAAGGTCGTGTGTGTGTGTGTGTGTGTGTGTGTGTGTGTGTGTGTGTGTGTGTGTGTGTGTGTGTGTGTGTGTGTGTGTAGGGTCACCAAACTGGTATATATACTTAAACTAACCACTAAACTACAGTACAGGTTACAACACATTTAAGTCCCTCAGCAGAATCATCCCCGGGTCCTGGTTAACAAATACCAAGTTCTTATGGCAGCTATGAGTTCACTGCGAGATGACAACAAGTGAAGGTAAGTCAAGGAAAAAGAAAATATTCATTAAAATCAACTTCTTTTTTAGAGTCTTGAACACAGGGAGGGAGATTTCGGGGGAGGAGGGGATTTCGGGGGGATTTCAGGGATGGGTAGAGGAGGGGGCCTTCAACCTCCACATACTTCCCTCCCCCTCACTTGTCTTCCTCACCTGTCGTCTCATATATACGTCAGGTACAATTACACGTCTTAAGTAAAGTTATTAAATGGATCTAAGGATTTGTAAAGAATTATAATGATGGCTTTGTTGGTTATCTTTGGTCATATTGTCGTATTGTTTGCCAATGTTTGTGGACCAACACTATCTAGGTACACCTTATACCTGCAATATGTAAGGTACACTGTTTGTATACCTGTACAGTCTATTTATAGTGTATACCTGCATTGTCTATAACTACCGGTATCAGTATATAATTTCATTGACGATCTATCTATCTTGCTTTGTCCAGGAGGCGGCACTCTCAATCCCATCACCTCAATTCAATATATTTACCAAGTTTGGAGACCAACACAGAAATCCAAAATGGCTGCCACGGCGGCCATTTTGGATTCAAACATCAACACTCTCTCTGCAGTGTTAGTCAAAAAGGGGCGATAATAGAGATCCTTCTAATGAGAATATCAGCCTTACTGTATTGTCGACGGTTTGGGGAGTTGTGTATTTAATGCATTGTTTATAGCGTGGAGTAACGTGGACAGAAGAGTGAAGCACCAAGACCATCCCTTCCTCAACCTTCTCTCGTTGGCTTTTAACCGTGAACCTTGGCAGTCAAATCAACATCTTCACTACAAGCAGATGTTTTACTACCACCATCGTAACCACTACTACTATCATCATTACTCTACCACCCTCATCACCACTACCACCATCATTATCACTATCATCATCGTTACAATTACCACTATCGTCACCACTACCTCCCTCGTTACTACTACCACTACTACGACCATCATCACCACTACCTACCTCAAACAACAACAACAACAATAACAACGGGGACGGTAATATATGCACCGTCACACAAACAATTAATTTTGGCGGAGTCTAAACGAGGCGACCCATCACCACGACGAGTGTTCTCGCTTAATTATCCCGCCGCTAAAATAAGCCCTGGCCCGGCACCTTATTGCAAACCCGGGTAGTACAGCTCTAAAAATACGGCTTTACCAATGGATATAATGATAAAATAAGGTTGTGTCTTATTGTAACGCCGAGTTTGTAGAACCCTTAAACGACGGCAGTGTATTATTGTAAAGCCGAGTTTCTAGATTACCTAAAATACGGCTGCGTCTTATTGCAAAGCCGGATATTATAGCTCGTAAATTACGGTGGTGACAACAATACGGCTTGAGTGTGAGGATATATATAAATAATACAGCGACGAAAGTGACAACAACAACAGTAGGAATACATCAATTTATAAATACATTAATTAAAATTTATATCAATAAAAAATAAGTTTAAAATCATTCAATAGCAAGGGCAGATCCAGGGGAAGGGACCTCGGGGTTCGGACCCAGCATTTCACCAGAAAAGTCCAATACTTTTTCTTTAATGCAGTTTTGTATTTAGTCATTTTTGTCTAGTAAAAAGTATTTACTATTGACCTCAGAATATCACCTAATATCAAGTGCACAAGGCTTAAAAATGGTTCCAAATGCCCATGATATTGGTCAGATTTCAAAAAACTTCCGGGAGTGCTTACAGCGTCCCGCAAAACCTACAACCTGGGTGGGCTCCCTGCGCTTGCCATGCTCCCCCACCCACTTTTTGATATTCCTGGATCCGCCCCTGAACCGAAGACAAACACCAAATTTGACCCTATAGTTACCATAGTATGATCTGATAACGCCATTTCCTGTGTTTCTATGTTTATTTACACACTTACGTTTTCTGTGATGGAATTCATGATTTGATCTCCATTTTTATTAATGGATAACTAAGCTCCCTCGAATTTGGCTACATCACCTGTTTCTCTATCGTTCTTTCTCTAGTGTTGGTTCTCTCTCTCTCTCTCTTCTCTCTCTTGTATTCCTCCTTCTACATCTCAATACAAACAGGTCATTTATCCTTTCACTGAATACAGCGGCCACTGTATTTTGTACCCTGTACAGGCAGCTCTTCTGCATTGATTTGTAGTGAGAAGTACAGAGTATTGGGGATTTATCGCCCCCTGCGGTGTGTGTGTGTGTGTGTGTGTGTGTGTGTGTGTGTGTGTTAAGAGAAAGACATACATGCATACAGACAGAGAGAGAGAAGGAGAGAGACAGAAATAGGGAGAGAGATATAAAAATGCATCAGACAGAATTAGACCTGGTGAAGGCAGCAGTAGAAGACACATTGGTGGTGGTAGTAGTAGTAGTAGTAGTAGTAGTAGTAGTAGTAGTAGTATTAGTAGTAGTAGTAGTTACAATGGTGGTAGTGTGAGGGAGCATCTAACCGGCCAGCAAAGGGTTGAGTCATCACCACAATCCATCAGGCAGAGTGACACACACGTATGTCTTCCATCACTCTCAACATATCCGGCACACACACACACACACACACACACACACACACACACACACACACACACACAAGCGCGCAATCTGATAATGGCAAAAACAATAAAATCAGTGAGAGCACAGGTATGGACACAGGTACAAGTACAGTTGCAGGTACAGGTACAAATGTCAAATACAGGTACTCTCACTCCTTCCCTCACTCCCCATTCAATCCAACTCCGCTCCTCACTCGCTCTCCTTCCCTCACTCCCCCCTCTCTCCCCCATTCAATCCAACTACTCCCTCACTCATTCTCCTTCCCACACTCCCCTTCCCTCCCTCATTCAATCTCACTCCTCCTCCACTAGCTCTTCTTCCCTCACTCGCTTTCCTTTCCACACTCTCACTCCTCTCCTCACTTCTACTCCTCTCACTCCTCTCCTCACTTCTTCTCCCCTCACTCTCCCTCCTCCCCTCAGGCCTCCCTCACTTCCCCTCATATGATGACTAATGAAGAGGAACAATCAGGGTTGAGGTAATGACCACAGACTGTCCTTATCTGGTCATACACACACGAAGTACCTCTAACAGCATATCGGTACCGATTTCACTGCAGTGTGTGTGTGTGTGTGTGTGTGTGTGTGTGTGTGTGTGTGTGTGTGTGTGTGTGTGTGTGTGTGTACGTGTGTGTGTATGTAGTAATAATAATAATAATATGTAACTGTTTATAGAAAACATGCAGTGGACATAAACCGAAAATACATAAAATTCATAAGTGATACAGTAATACTATCAGTGACATCTGAACGAGGGTCATTTAACAAAGACGTTCATTGTAATTTAAGTACACAAGGGAGGCTGGGCAAGGACTTAACACACGAGTTATCTACGAGTTATTGATGAGTTTTACAATAGTTGGAATGGGGCTGTTGTTGTGGCGATCAGTACGAGGTCGTATGAGCTGGTGGTGGTCGTGGTGTGGACGGGGGATCTAAGGTGGTAGCAGGTGGCGGTGACGAGGATAGTGTCGCCACTGTGTCCCAAACTGACAGATGGAGTCACGATGATGACTAAGGGGAGTTGGCAGGGCCAGTGTACTGAGCGCCTCTTGATTATGTAGTGTAAGAGAGGGAGAGAATACAGTAGACATGTGTGCCTGTGTGTACATAGCCCTTAGTATGTGCATAGGTATATCACCTGAGTGGAAGAGTGGTAGGAATGCGTTGGGTGGACGTGTGGGTGTGTGAGTGGGCGTGTCGGCGTGTGAGTGGGCGTAGGAGTGTACAGTTAACCTGTTAGGCGGGCGTGGATTCGGTGCTTGTGTAGGCGCGTCGGTGTAAATCACGTGAGCGTGGTTGTCATGTAGTAAGTATGGCAGTCATTCTGGTACAGATATCAAGTGGACCCGACTAGAGTATCTTGATGAAGGCTTGACTATCATATGACCATGACTCCCGTGGGGGATTTGACAATATGACACTCACGTGGACGCAACTGTCATGCAGGTACACCTATCATGTAAAACCGACTGTCATAAGGGCGTGACTCTCATGGAAGTACGACTATCATGTGACCCCGGCTGTCGTGAGGCAGTGACTGCCATGCAAGTACGACTATCATGAGAACCCGGCTGTCATGAGGGCGTGACTGGCATGCAGGTACGACTATCATGTGAGCCTGATATCATGAGAACCCGGCTGTCATGAGGGCGTGACTGTCATGCAGGTACGACTATCATGTGAGCCTGATGTCATGAGGGTATGGCTGTCATGCAGGTACAGGTATCAGGTGAACCTGACTGTCATGAGAGCGTAGCTTTCGTGCATTTGGACGTTGCAGGCGTGCAGGCGGGCGTGGGCAGGCGTGCGGGTCAGTAAGGAACACTACCATGAAATAAACCTCTCATCCTCTCCTACCTTTCGTTTGTCTTCTTCAAAGGACGAGTGCTTGGCTGGTTCTCGTACCTGAGGGAGAGAGAGACACGGGTTAGTACGTCCGTGACACGTACACAAGGACACGTACACAACAACACATACACAAGGACACGAACACTGAGGAAGAAAGAGACACCTTACATGTCAACACACAGGTGAGAGAGAAGGAAAGACTGCAGGGGTTAACACAAAATGACGGAGTGGGTCAGGGATGAGGAAGATACTTTTACTGTCAGTCTGTTAGTCAGGCAAGAGAGTCAGTCAGTCAGCCAGTCAGTCAAGAGGGTCAGTATTAAATGTAATTAACAGAGATAAAAGAAAATGTACGATTAAGTGGCCATCCAAGACGAGGAAACGACTAATGAGTCAACCACCTAGCACCCAGCACTCCACCTAGCACCCAGCACTCCACCTAGCACCCAGAGTATACGCGAGGGTCTTACTGTGACACGCGTGGCTGAAGAACTTCCTAAAATACCACACACACACACACACACACACACACAGTTATCTAAACAAGGTGAAGGTGATGGTCCAACCAGTCATCACGCTGTGTACCTAAACTCATTAACCTGCAACTCAATTATCAATATTTACGTACATCAGTGGCGCAGCGGTAGCACGTTTGCCTCCCACCTATGTGTCCCAAGTTCGATTAAGGGTCTGATGTGAGACAGGTGTAGTATAACATGACCATACCCAATTAAACAGGTGCTCTATGGCTACTTCTGTTTCCTCCTGTACAAACTCATCAGGGATAACGCCACTAACTTCCATCCGCCAATAATACGTTAAATTAAAAATTATTTATATTCTATTTACGTAGAGTAATATATAATCATTGGACCCAGACACCCCCCCCCCACACACACACATACATCACCCCCAGCAAGGCAAAACCACCACCACCGTCAACGAATTCACCACCACAATTCACCACCACCACAACCACCAGCACCCTGCCACCAATACACCAGCATCAATCACCACCAGTGCACCACCACCACCAGCGCCACCACCAACACTGAAGCACTAATTACTCACCACCACCAGCGCCACTCTGCCAGGTAGGCCACAAGTTGTGTTGGCAGGATGGGTGGTGAGGTGCAGGCGCTCATAGAACTTATTGAAATATACAAGAATTCCTGAAGTGTTCTGACTCGACGTTCTGTAATAAAAGACACTTACAGACATTCTTTCAATCAACTTTACAAAAAAATACATAACATATTGACTGAAATTCTTATCTAGTCTTCCTCGGGTACAGCAAAATTACAGAAATAAACTATCATTCCATTACCTTAGGGTACAAAATAAATACAGAGACTCTTTCCATTAAGACTTCTTGAGGTTCAGCAAAATACAAAACCACACTCATTCCCCTCGCTAAGGTACAGGAGAGAATTATTACTGAAACTCACTCAAGGTAAATACAAGGGAGGGGGGATTCCCTACAACACCTGAGACACACAGGTAGGTAGTGGTAAATAATAAATAGATAGATATAGGTAAATACATGAGAGAAAAAAAGAAAGAGAAAGGGGAGAAAAGGGGAAGAGAGAGAGAGAGAGAGAAAAAGTAGAGAAAGAGACATATGAGAAAAGGTAGAGACAAGAAGTGTGAGAGAGAAAGGGTACACAGAGAGAGAGAGAACGACAGGAGAGAAGAGTGAGAGTGAAAGGAGAGAGAGTGAAAGAGAGAGAGACAACAGATCAATACGCATCTCGGGGCCACCGCTGACCACCACCACCACACACTACCACCACCACCACCACCACCACCAACACAGAGTATCAGATTATGACGTCACCGGCAGACATGAGGGCCCAGCCTTAATTAGCCATAAATTATCGGAGATGATGGTGGAGCCGCGCGCCATAATGAAGAGACCGTCAACACGCACCCCGCTGCTCGTTAACCAAAACTCTCGTCCATCATAAAACTCGTTCACCCTCCCTCCCTCCTTCTGTCCCTCTTTCTCTTCCTTCTGACCCTCTCCTCCTCCTTCGCCCTTCCTTCTCTCCCTCCTGACCTCCATACCCCTCCCTCCTTCCTTCTCCTCCTTCACTGTCCCTCCTACTCCTTCTGTCCTTCTCCTCCTTCTCTCTACTTCTGACCCCCCTCCTCCTTATCTCTCCTTCTGACCTCCTCCTCCTCCTTCGTCCCTTCCTTCTCTCCCTCCTGACCTCCTTACCCTCCCTCCTTCCCGCTTTCTGAAAGTCCCAGCCTTCCTCCTTCATACCTCTGAGCCACTCTCTTCCCTCCTTCTTTCCCTCCATCTTCCCTTCCTCTGACTCCTCTTCCTTCCTTCCCTCCTCCTCCTTCTGACCCCTCCACCTCATTTCCCTTTTCTTCTCTCCCTCCTCCTTCAACCCACATCCCTCCTTCTCTCCTCCTCATCTCCATACCCTCCCTGCCACAAACCTTCATACCCAGCTTCCTCTTTCCTCTGTCCCTCCTCAGCCCTACCCCCCTTCTCCCCCCCTCCTCCTTCCTTCTCTCCCTCAGACCCCCATATACTCCTTCTTCCCTCCTTCTCCCCCCTGACCCTCCACCCCCCTCCCCCTCCCTGATACACAGTCTCCGTCAGCTTCCTGCATAGGGTGAAGCTACTATTTTTGTTGACACTACTACTATTACTATCAGATTACTACTACTACTACTACTACTACTACCGTTATGCTGTTGCTACTACTACTGGTACTTCTACTACTACTACTACCATTGATAATAATAATAATAATAATAATAATAATAATAATAAAAATAATAATAATAATTAATAATAATAATTTTAACTATTGCTACCACCACCACTACCACCACCACCACTACCACCACCACCACTACCACCACCGTGTAACCGTGAGATGATAACAATCCCTGTCATTATCTTACATCACTTAATTATCACCCTTCTGACTCCCCCTTCCCTCCTCCCTCCACCCCCCTCCATGACCCTTCTTTCCTCCTTCCAATACCCTTCCCTCCTCCCTCCACTCCCACCAACCCCTTTCCCTCCTCCCTCCACCCCCCTCCAAGAGACCCTTCCCTCCTCCCTCTACCCCCACCAAGCCCTCCTTCCTCATAATGTACACAGGGTGCTTCATCGAGTCGGTCTGTCCTGTGTCTGTATGTACGTCCGTCCGTGTGACAGCAAACATAACTCAACGATAGATAATGCCAGCAATTTCTAACCTGAGTACGGGGGTTTGACCTTGACATACAGTACCTCCATCCCCCCTACCCCTCTAGACCTGTTATTTATGTATCCTGAGGTCAAGGAGGTCAAGGGTCAAGATTATGGAGGTCATCTATCTACATCTGGTGTGTGGGAAGTGAAATAAAGTGTCGTGTCTCCGTAGGGTTTCTGGTCATTGTAAACAGGAGGGGTAACCAATGACGGGTGTAGGAGAGCACCCTGGGGAACCTCTGCCTGGGTGTTGTTATTGTATGTTATTGTTATTATTATTTTTATTGTTATTATTATTATTATTATTATTATTATTATTTTATTATTATTAGAATTATTATTATTGTTATTATTATTATTATTATTATTATTATTATTATTATTATTATTATTATTATTATTATTATTAGAATTATTATTATTGTTATTGTTATTATTATTATTACTGTTGTTGTTATTATTATCATTATCATTGTTACTATTATATTAATATTATTATTCTATTTTCTTTCCTACAAAAATCAATTATATTTTCTTGTTCGTATGTTCTTTATAATCCAACAAGAACTTTTTCTTTTCTTCAATCTCTCTCTCTCTCAAGTCGAGACACCCTGCTTGACCCTTCCGTTCACTCCTCCTCCTCCTCCTCGCTTATCCTACATTCCATCACACTATTCCCGTCTCCCTTATCCTCGCTTCCTGCATATCTCCCTGTTTACACTCCCACCGTACCATATATACCCAGACCTGTACTCGTTATCCCTGTTAAGGAGTACACGTCCACCACACCACCACACACCATCACCTCATTAGACCGTCCGATGAATCTCTCTCACGCTGGATTGAGTCTCCCACGGACGTCGATCCTCTCCCATGGCGTCCCAACTACTGTCCCAATCCGTGCTGCTTTGCCACCTCCACCTAAGCACAGCGGGGGAGGAGGGCGGGGGGAGGCACAACACCGCTAACTGTAGCTGTGTGTGTATGAGGGGCAGCTCAGGTACAGCACCAGCAACATCGGGTGTGTGGGGCAGCTCAGGCACAGCGGGGGGTTCAGCGGCTCCTCTACCCTCGTTAAGGAACAGCGGGACGCCGACAAATGAACTTCTCGCCACTATATCACGCGCTATCAAACTCCTCCACAGTGATGGTGGGTGTGTGGTGGTGGTGGTGGTGTGTGATGTGTGGTGTGTGGCGGTGGTGTGTGGTGGTGTGTGGTAGTATTTGATATGTGGTGGTGGTAATGGTGGTGGCAGCGGTGGTGATGTGTGGTGGTGGTGGTGTGGCGGTGGTGTGTGGTGGTCTGTGGTAGCGTTTGATATGTGGTGGTGGTGACAACGGTGGTAGTGGTAGTACTAGTGGTGGCGGCGCGGCGGTGGTGTTACAGAGACCTGATTTCGTTGTATCAAGATGTGTTCCTCTAACACATGAACTCTTCCTCCTGCAGGCACCTGGAGGTAGAAGACTCAAGACTCGTATCAAACAAATTAATATTCTACTAAACTCTGATGAAAAACCGCATTAATTAATTTACCTTTGGCAATCTCTCTCTAAACGAACGACATTGAAACACGAGAAAAAAAAATACATCCCAAAAAACGTACATTTCTGACAATGTTTTACTCAAGGACCGAAACTAAAAAAAAAAATATAGCTTATAAAATATGGATCTTTGACAATTTCTGGTTGAAGGCACGACAACCGCTTACACCCCTCACTTAAAAAAAACAACGACCACCACCACTACCACTACCACCCCCTTCACGACCACCACTACCATCACCACCTCCACCCCACCACCTTCACGACCACCACCTCCACCCACCATTTTCACGAC